ACCCTTTTTTTATCTTTATTTTTTTCTTTATTCTTATTATTTTTATTTTTTTTTTTTTTTTTTTTTTTTTTTTTTTGGGGGGGGCCCTTTATTTCATTCATTCAATAAGTAATGGATGGTGTCTAACCTTTTCGGTACTTGTAAAGCGGTCTTCCATTAAACACTAACCTTTGGACTATCCAATGAAACAGTAATTCATTTATTTGTCCAGTGCTTTGTCAAGTGTTTGCCCTCTAAAACTTGTTTGTGCCTTTAATTACTTTTTTTTTTTCCCTTTTCTTTTCCCATGCTTATTCTATGATAGGTTTGAAGTTGTTATTGTTAATTCTATGCAGATGATTGAATTGCCTTCAAAGTTCCCGAATATCTTTGTCCAATCTCCTTTACGCTTAAGGTCAAATGTTCTCTTATATGGTCCTCCTGGTTGTGGCAAAACTCATATTGTTGGTGCTGCTGCTGCTGCCTGTTCTCTTCGATTCATATCAGTGAAAGGACCTGAGCTGTTGAACAAATACATTGGTGCTTCTGAACAAGCTGTAAGAGAGCAATTAAACCTCCCTTCCTATTTTGAAATGAAAAATAAAATAAATAATTTCTTTTAAAGTAGCCATTCTAGAACTTTTGACACTTCCATTGCATAATTTTCCTCATATCTACATACCCTAGCACAGTGCTGTAGTTTTTGTCCTTGTCAAACCAGAACGCTAGCTCTTAAAATATTATTGGAATGGTAGTGAATTCACTTTGTATTGGGTCAATAATCTTATTTTCTTTCTTCCAAGTGAATTGAAGTTTTTGAAACTTTTTTTTTTTCATCTATTTTTCTTTCCATGTATTCACATACATTTCAAAGGGTTTGCCACTGCATTGATTTGGAATTCTCTTCCTTGCTTATTGGTGTTGTTCAATATAAAAGTTCCTGGAGTGTATTGGAAGGATAAGAAAATTCTTTGCTTGCTTGAGGTCCAATGCTTACACAAAAAATTATTCTTGATGCATTTTGGCATACTGTGTGAAGATTGTTGCTTTGAAAAACTTTAGCTCCACACTGTAATGATGCTTGTAAGCCATATCCTTTTGTCCAAACAAATTCACACCACAAATGTTTTCCATACCAAACATTTTGTCTTCCTGTTATATCCTTTGACAAATCACTACCATTTATTCTTTGTTGAATAGTCAGTTTGCAATTGTTTGTTAGATAGGTGGTAAGCAATCAGTTATGTATTGCACTCACTTTACATTTCCAGTATGGCTTCAACTGAAGAATACTGCATAATTTACTGATAATTTCATTATTAATATTCACTGATCATTTTTTGGCATAATTGATCAAAGAGCATGTGGTATATCATGGAGATTCATAAATATGCTTATGGAACTTGTGTGGATGCAGAATTTTATTATGTTGAATTGATTAAAATAAGATATCAATATTACAATTGAGTGTGAACTCCTTTTCTTCTTTTAGTTGGATTCAATAATGCGCTTTGATGGTGGTCTGCATTTGATTGTGTGTTTAATGACCCAGAAGTGAACTTGAGACCATAATAGGTTCCTGTATTGGAATTTGCCTGTGTTTCCTCCTTGTAAAACTTTAATGCATATTGACTGCTGGCAATGCCCTTGCTTTCACTACAGGTTCGTGATATTTTCTCAAAAGCTGCAGCTGCAGCACCATGTATTCTATTTTTTGATGAATTTGATTCCATTGCCCCAAAACGAGGGCATGACAATACTGGAGTAACTGATCGTGTTGTTAATCAAGTTAGTTTCCCATATTGGTTTTTTCATCTTATATGGTTTCTTTATCAATTTTCCTCACTTGTGAATTCTTCATTTTCCCAGTTTCTAACTGAATTAGATGGCGTTGAAGTTTTGACTGGAGTTTTTGTTTTTGCTGCAACAAGGTTAGTTCCAATCTGGTGTATATACTTATTTCTGGTTCAGGTTCCACTCCAGACATTAATTACTTGGTACTAACAAGGGAGATTTTCTGCACTTGCAATCTATTGCATATAATTTAGTGCATGGTTTTGCTTGTAGCAGTCCATGGCATTTCCAATTTCAATGGATACTTTTTTTTGGCTGAATTTGTGTGTTAGCTTCCTGTGCTGATTAGAGAATGTCTTCCCATCCTTATTGTATTTTCTTCTCTTCCTATTTTCATAAATTTTCCTTTCGTCCAAATGAGAAGTTGAAAGGAATTGGGTGCCATAAAATTACATGTTGTAAAAATTGACTCCTGCAAATGAAATAATAGAATTATTATAAGGGATATAAAGAAATTGCTCTAGATTTGTTAATTTCAATGGAGGATTGCCACTGATGATTGGTGATGCCAGATAGATGCGTTGCTAATGGATTCTTGTTCTATTGCATAAATTTGGTTCCAAAATTGACTTTAATCATGTATTTCGTTCAGCATCTCATGTCAACTGGATATCCAGTGAT